TCGGATGGAAGCAGCTAGGAACTGGAAAAATTAATGTAGGTGCCTGCTTATATCCATGATGGAATAGTTGCATATGCTTATGATGGAGCACAGGGAGAATGAGCTGTGGTGTTTCAGCGAGTTTCACCATTTCCTTTTGGTTTATCGGGGTCTGGTATCTCCTTCCATTTAGGGCATGTGTCAGGAGGTCAATGGCAATGCAATGGCAGGGGAATTTCCATGGTTACACTGCAACAGCATCCTTGAAGCTTATTTTGGTGGCATCTCTCAAATCCTGCAGTTGGATTATGTATAGCTCCCTATCTTAAAGGGATCCTATAGTGCCAGGCACTATAGGGTCAATAGCCCCCCCCCACCATGGGACTGAAGGGGTTAAAACCCCTTTAGCCACTTAGCTGAATCCAGCGCCGATGTCCCTCAGCGCTGGGTGAGGCTCCGCCCATGCGCCTCCCCTGCCGACGCCAGCTGGCGGGGGAGACCTAATGTATTATTTAATGCTTTCCTATGGGGAAAATCTAAAGCTGGAGGTCCGTGAGGATGTCCAGCATCAGATAACGGACCAAAAGTCCATTAGTATTCCGGAAGCGCCCCCAGTGGCTGTCTGGTAGACTTAGAGCTGCAATGTAAACATTGCAGCACTAAGTGCAAAAGGGACACTGCACCCAGACTTCTCCATTTCGCTGAAGTGGTCTAGGTGCCTGCAGTGTCCCTTTAATCACCTACAAGTTTCTGGTTGGTGCATCCATGTTTTTCTTGAAACAGGCATTTTAGAAGAGGCGTGGTGACTTGCTTGACGATAGCTTCTGGCTAGCTTTGGAATAGTATTCTCTATTAGTATCTTATCTTGTGTGTTATTTTTATGGATTTCTTTGCTTATTGGTTTTCCTTTAGACTTCCTTAGGGTATATATATATAAATGGGGCCAATTATGTTTTTTTGGTAATAGTGTTACTCTTTCAGCTGCTCAAGTTTTCTCAATGGCTTCCCCAATACAAGAGAAAAATATCGCCATCTAGATGCTCGAGGTAATCCATGTTCTTTTTTCTTTTGTAATGCTTTATTTTTGATGTGCTAAGATTGACCAAGGATATAGTCACAGCAACAGAATAGTAATCAGTCTTCAGAGACATATCCATCAAATAATATATATGCAGGAAAATGCTAATTTTTAAGTAATAATAGTGGCTGTTTAGAATTACGTGAGCTTAGGACTGGTTGGGTTAAAGTTAATATTGGTGAACACAAGGTGTTACAGAGGAGTTAAACACAGGATTAAGGTAAAGGGAGGGGGAGGGGGGATATAACTTTAAAAAAAATTATTAATAAAAAATATATTTAAATAAAAAATAAATTCACACTCACACTAACAACCCCCTCACACACACAGCACCCTCAGACACACACAGCACCCCCAGACACACACAGCACAGTGAGACACACACAGTACCCTCCCTCTCACACAGCACCCTCAGACACACAAAGCACCCTCACTCACACAGCATCCTCACTCTCACACAGCACCCTCAGACGCACACAACACCCTCAGACTTTTTCCACCTGCACTGTGATTGTTTACATGGTGCGTTCAATAAAAACATGGCAACATTTCATGCTTTGTGTGTTATTAGTTTAAGCAGACTGTGATTGTGACAGACCCATCCGTTTGAACTAGAATTGCTGTGTTCGTCTGTTTTGCCGTTTGTATGAATTTCCCCATTCGTATGCCTTGTTTAAGGGAATGTATTTTTTTGTCGAACGGAACTACCGAACGGACGGCCACCCGGAAGAGAAGTGTGCTGCTGGTTAACCTATTGATCCCAATTAGAATGTTGCGGTTAACCACAGACACTTCTCAATTAAAACCGAACACAGGGTGGTCGTCGTTCGTATGTCGACCACGAGGCGGCGGCCATTTTAACCATGTGAAAGACCAGCGGTGTTCGACGGTTATTTCATGGAACTAAAAACGGGCACTTTTTCAACCGAACACCGCTGAAGCTGTCGACCTCCCTTCTCAATCGACAGAAGTATGCGAACACCGGCCCTTCGAGAGGTTTAAAGGCATGAATGGACTTACCCCAGATAGCCTTCCCATGGAGTCAATCGCATACCGAAGAACTGTAATAGACTTTGACTCCATGGCGATTGAACTGTGCGTATGGGATCTGAGCGCTATTCGCCAATAATATGCACTCAGATCCAGGCTATCTGGGGATGTGTTATACGAATGCAATACGTTCGGCAGTTATAAAGTTATGTATTTTAATGTGTTTTGTGACTTATATTTAAAATGGCGATTTGCCTCTGCTCTGGGAGATAATTGAATTACTTCTCAATTATCTCCCGAGCAGAGGGGAGGAAACTGTGATGCATGCTGGGAATATTGTGGGGTTGTATGCCTAAAATGTCCCCATGTCCTTCTGCTATTACAGTCTCCCATTTGGTCCCCTAGGGGAGTGTCCACCAAGTGGGAGACCTGCATAAATACGGGCAGGTAGCCCACAGTAAACTCAGTTCATGTTTTACCCTCAAAGCGGAGCTTGGTCTCGTTATTGGGGGGATTTTATTACCGGCGACTAGAGACTGCTCATTGGAATTATTTGCCGCTTAGAAACTATTGCCGTTCGGCTGATATTGGCAGTTTGTGTATTTGGAGCTCATGAAGGGAAGGAGCCGTACAGGTACCGTTCGGGAGTTTGGAGTGTTCCCTGGCTGGCGGTTCGCATGGTTGTATTGCATACGCTACCAGACCACATTATTGCGAACGGGGAGCATTCACTATATGGCGGTTTGTACATTTAGTACTGGAGGTACCGTAACAGTGATTGTCTATTGTTGTGACTTAGATGATGATCAGATCACATTTTATGACCAATTTGTGCAGAAATCCTTGTCATTCCAAGAATACTTTTTCTTGCAACTGTATGTGGACATCAGAGACAAGGAACCAGACAAGAGGAAGTGTGTCATTAAATTCAATATAAAACACAGGGCATAGTCTTCAGTGCTCTGTACATAGGCTGTGCTGGAGCGGTACTGAATTAGGGAGCCAAAGTGGAGAATATTTACAGTTTGGTTAGTTTGGCCTTAAATGTGGCATTAGTCCTGCCACATAGGAAAGCATTAATCAAAGGGGGATTTGAAGATGGTGGAGGATGTCCAGTGTCGTTTCACATAGTTAAACTTTGTGAAATGCCAGGAAGCACTAGACAGCCACTAGAGGGAGTCTTAACATTTCTCTCTGAAACTGCAATTTTTTTTTTAGAAAAGTAAGGAATTCTAAAACATACTTTAGCACCAAGCACTTGTCAAATTCCAGGAAAAAAAAAACAACACCCCAAAAGGTTTTTTTATCATATGTGGATGTTGTAAGCTTTGCAAATGCATCCCCCAGTTCACCACAAAAGGTAGAAGTTCTCAAACCAATGAAACCTTTAACATTCAAGAACATATTTCCTGTACTTTAGCACATGTTGTCTGCCTAATCACCTGTCGGTGTGGTTTACATTATGTGAGGAGGACAGGTAGACAAGTTAAAATAAGGTTTAAGGAACACAATGATAATTTTTTTTATCTTTATTGTTTTTTTAGATATTACGACACACATAAAACAATCTAGTATGCACAAGTATTACATCTTAATAAGCAAATACAGCTGTGAAGCGTGGAGGAAAGTAGTATAAAAAATAATAAATATATATATATATATATATGTTGATATCTAATGTTTTGGAGCGAGTTCATTTGTTAAATATTGTGTAAATTATTATTCTACTGTTCCCAACTCTTCTTAAAGCGTTCCCAAGTACCTTTCGGTCTAGAGATTCCTATCTCCATTTGTTGCTGATATTGCATCTGAGTACGGACTTAAACCCAATTTGGATGGATCGGCGATAGACAGTTTCTGGCTATTGTTATTTTAGTAGCTGTTAGGGCTTGAATTACCAAATGTTTTTATTTTTTTTATTTCTGCGACCCTGGTATGTACGCCACTGAATGTGCAGTCCGGGCCCCCCAGGACTGCCAGGCCCATCACAACCGTTATGGTTGTTATGCCCTGATGGCGGCCCTGGTGCCAGGAAAATAACTATAGCTTCCCCCTCTGTCAAGGTCCCTCCGTGGTGCAGAAGGGGTTAATAACTTCTGTCACCTACCTGGGTCCAGCGCCGATGTCCCTCGTTGCTGGGTCAGGCTCGCCCATGCTCCATGCAATAGTCACGCTCTCATTAGGATTTAATGCATAGCTAGGTTTTTATTTGCTATTCTCTGGTATGTTCTTATTTATTAAGCTATTTCAGCATTATGAAAGCATTATAAAGATGAATTGTGGTTTAATTGTGTTGAGTTTCATGTATTTAATTCTAAATGAAAATGATCCGTGTAAAGGTCAGTTCCACGTAGGAACAAAATAGCCTCATGATAGGAATGTGTTTCATAGGTTTAAAAGTTAACTTTTCCTAGGACAAAAGTGACCCAGCATTGACATGACTACAAGCCAGGTTAAATCGTCAGTCTTATATAAGAAAGATTAATTTACTTGATAGATAACAACCACTTTTATTTCTAAAATGTATTAGGTCTGTAAGCCAGTGAGATATCACATTTATTTTGTCATCATCACCTGGAGCTTCAGACAGAATAAGAGCTTCAGAAGCACATTTCTATCTAATGGACTGAGAGAGAAACAAACATGTGTAATATAGAACTGTACTTAGTTACTTTCAACTGGTAATACCACTGGCTAATAACCCCACTACCTATATTGGTGGTAGACGTTTCTGAGAATATGGCCACATAGCAGAGTGATGGGTGATAGTTTATGGTTTATAATCCCCACAAGAGTATGCTGTGTTAGGGTGTGGGTAAGTATAGATGTAACAATATACGAACTGCAGGGGGACAGTAAAATGGTGTGGTAGGGCTGGAAAGTTCCCAGGTGGAGATCACTGTGGGAGGGCGGGATTTACCCAACCCCTGTGGTTGGTAAGTACACTGGGTATTCAGGCTGTCTTCTGGGGCTTGCGGCATTTCGGCTTCTTTGTGTTGTGACTCTCCAGCCTCTTTCTTTGTTGTTTGGTAGTTGTCTGTGTCCCGGAGCCACCCTGTGGTTGAGTCTTTCCCCGTCCGGGGAGTGCGGGTGAGTCCACGTGGTTGTTGTCGGTGGGTGGTGATAGTCGTTCCTCTGCGTTTATTGTGTAGCGGGGGAAACCTTCATGGGGTCCTCGGCCCGGGTGGTCTGTCAGGACCTGGAGCCGGTCCTTGTGGAGACCCATCTTTCTGAATTTCTTTGGGGCTCATATGGGTTGTAGTTGAGTCTGCAAGCCTCCGCTTCCTTCGCTGGGTGACACTCCAGAATTGCTCCCAGAACCTGGCAAATGCTTTGTCTATGCATTCTTCCCATGTGGCCCAAGATGGAGGAGTTATAAGCAAGGCAGGCCTCTCATCAGCGGTCATCTTGGTCAAATGCTGGTCGGTGTAAAGTTCCGTGGGACCCATCCGTCCAGTGCTAGGTGAGTAAGCTAGCTACCCATTGGGGACCGGGATAACCCCCACCGGTCCAGAGGGGGGGGGGTGGAAGCCCTCTGAGTCACCTCCGTTGGTCTGAGGGGGAGGAGAGCGGCCACCTCTCCTCACCTCAGCAGCCCGCAGGCCGCAACTTCGTGCTGTCTCAGGACCGCTAACCGCCGGCATCGTTTTTGTAAGGGAAAAACTCCCGGGGTTTTCAGGTATTTAGAATACACACTCAATCCAAGAAAGTCCTGATTTTGCAGGTAAACTTTGTTTAATTTGGCTTTTGTTCCCAGAGCTCAGCCTCAGTGCGTCCTGCTGGCTTGGCGGTCAGGCTCCGTCCCTCAACATTAATTTATTAAGTTCTGCCTTTGTCTGGTTAAGAATCATGTTACCTGAAGAGACTTATTCGTATTTTGCAATTACATAGATATTGTGCTTAGTATATTTAGTGGGTTTTTATTATTGATTTACCTGGGGGACCAAGGCATCCCATTTATAAATTGTCTTGGTGGTGGCAGCGTTAAAATAGTAATAGTTATATTATCATGTTTAAGTACGGGTGGTGCTAAGGTGGATTGTCATTATTTCCGGTCTAGTGCAGACAAATAGTGAGCTTTCACCCTTTCACCACCACAACTACGTCACGCACACTCTTGAAGTAGGGTACATTCATGACACCTGCTGGGCTCAATGACCACCACAATAGGTTTGGTGAAGTGGGCTCAATGGAGATTCAGACCAATCCAAAAATGATTTCTTCTTCAGTTAAACAAACAAAGGGCAGACTGGGAACAGAGAGTATATATTTCTCCTCAAGTGAAACAGCATTTGAGCTAGTGGAAAGAAGACGGAAACTTATTTCAAGGATTCCCTCTGGAAGAACCACACTGGCAAACCATAATGACGGATGCGAGTTCTTATGGATGGGGTGCCCACTACAATTCTCTATGAAAACAAGGGCAGTGGACACAGTAAGAGAGTCATCTACATTCCAAACTGAGGGAATTACATGCTATTCAGAAGGCACTTTTAGGTTTCCTTCCATTATTCAATCATGGGTTCTTATAAAGACAGACAACCAGGCTGTGGCATCGCTGTGGCAACCAACAGGGCACACGCAGCAGGCGTCTTCTAGAAGAATTGTCTCCAATTATGGGTCTGGCCCAATCCAAGCTTCTGGGTCTGAAAGCAGTGTATCTTCTGGGTACAGAGAACAAGACGGCAGACTTTCTAAGCAGAAGCAGAGATTATTCTTGGAGAATGGAGACTTCATCGGAAGGTATTCAGAGAAATAACTATCCGGTGGGGCATACCACAGATCGATCTTATGGCAGATTTGGAAATTTTACTCTCTGCATCCACATCAGCCGTCAGCGGGGAAAGATGGCTTATCACAACAATGGACCTTCGATCTGAGGTATGCATTCCTACCTCTACCGATGATACATCGCTTCCTGTGCAAAGTTTGGACAGAGGGAAGGAAAATAATAGCAGTAATCACGAATTGGTTAAAAAGGCCCTGGATCCATTTGCTGATCAAGTTCAGCCTGACAGACTATTGGCCACTACCTCTGAGGTCAAACCTTCTGATCCAAGGAACTGTGTCTCATCCCAATCCAGAGATCTTGAATTTAGGGGCATGGCTTTGAAAAGGAGAGATTGAAGAACGGGTGGTAAGGGAGCCTTAAAGAACCTAGTGATTAGCAGGTCCGAAGACCAAGAAATGTCGCATAGAGCTGATAAAGCCAAAGATTGTTCTTTTAAAGTACTAGGGCCCGTGTCAAGTCCTTTTTGTAGGAATTCCAAAACTTGTGAATTTGTGGGGTTTTAAATTCAATAGCTTTAGAAGATGCCCATTTCTTGTCTCCCAAACCCTATGATAAAATGCAGAGGTCGAGTTTTTCCTAGACTTTAGGAGAGTAATAATAACTGCTTCAGATAGACCTTCAGTCTATCTGAAGCAGTTATTATTACTCTCCTAAAGTCTAGGAAAAACTGAAGGTCTATCTGAAGCAGTTATTATTACTCTCCTAAAGTCTAGGAAAAACTCGACCTCTGCTTATCCCTCCGTGCAGCAGAACTGACATTTTACACAAAAATCCATAACTTCCCCATTATTCATGTTATTTTACCGAATGACCGTTCGGTAGATAGCTGGAGTCTAAGCACACCTTTCGTGAAAGTATCGCTCAGACTCCAGCATAAATAACCGAACGCCGCACGAAAATACATATTATTTGACATTCACCTTAAAGTACTGAATGCATATAGGGGAACAAACTACCGAATGACTGGCACTCCCAAATGGCCTGGAAGTCCAGCGGTATTCGTGTTGTTGAGTAGCAGATTTTAGTTCCATGCGCTCGACGACCAAATACCGCTGGCAGTGGCGTACACATGACCCATGGGGCCCCGGTGCGAAAATTGATCCATGGGCCCCCCCCTCCCCCCGCGCGCGCGGGCCGGGCCGCAACACATGGCGGTGGGCACCTGGTCGCAGGGGTTACAGGGCTGCGACCGCGGTATGTACGCCAGTGCATGCAGATGCACACACACTTAAAGGACCACTCTAGGCACCCAGACCACTTCAGCTTAATGAAGTGGTCTGGGTGCCAGGTCCATCTAGGGTTAACCCATTTTTTCATAAACATAGCAGTTTCAGAGAAACTGCTGTGTTGATGAATGGGTTAAGCCTTCCCCTCTTTCCTCTAGTGGCTGTCCCATTGACAGCCGCTAGAGACGCTTGCGTGCTTCTCATTGTGATTTTCACAGTGAGAGCACGCCAGCGTCCATAGGAAAGCATTATGAATGCTTTCCTATGTGACCGGCTGAATGCGCGCGCAGCTCTTGCCGCGTGTGCGCATACAGCCGACGGGGAGGAGAAGAGGAGGATCGGAGGAGGAGAGCTCTCCACCCAGCGCTGGAAAAAGGTAAGTTTTACCCCTTTCCAGAGCTGGGCGGGAGGGGGCCCCTGAGGGTGGGGGCACCCTCAAGGCACTATAGTGCCAGGAAAACGAGAGTGTTTTCCTGGCACTATAGTGGTCCTTTAAAGGACCACTACAGACACCCAGATCACATCAGCTCAATGAAGTTGTCTGGGTGTCAGGCCCCTCTAGTTTTAACCCTGCAGCTGAAAACATAGCAGTTTCAGAGAAACTGCTATGTTTCACTGAGGGTTAATCCAGCCTCTAGTGGCTGTCTCACTGACAGCAGCTAGAGGAGCACACTGAACGTCCATAGGAAAGCATTGTGTAATGCTTTCCTATGGGCGGTTTGAATGCGTGCGCGGTCGCATTCGGAGCTGAGAGGCTGAGGGATCCTCAGCGTCAAGGGAGTCCGGCGCTGGAGAAAGGTAAGTGCTGAAGACACACACACACACACACACTTACAGACGCATACACACTAGCTAACAGACACACGCATTTACTGACAGAGACACAGTCAGCGACAGACATACATACACACTCACTTACAAAACATACACTCTCATTGACAAACACACACTCAGTAAGACACACACAGTAACACTCACTGACACTCACTAGCAGACACACTAACACACACTCTCACTCTAACACTCTCACACACACACACTAACACTCACTCTAACACTCTCACACACTAACACTCACTCTACACACTCACACTAACACTCACACATGATTTTTTATTTTTTTAAATTTAATCCCCCCAGCCTCCTTACCTTTTGGAGTGCTGGGGGGATTCCCTGGGGTCCAGTGGTGCTGCTGGGCTCCTGGGCGGGTGGCCGGTCGGGCAGGCAGGCGGGCGCGCGAGGGAGCACTCAGTGCTTCCTCTTCAGCTCCCTCGCGCGCCGCGTAGGGATGCCGGAGCCGGAAGATGACGTCATCTTCCGGCTCCGGTATCATTGCGGTGCGCGAGAGAGCTGAAGAGGAAGCACTGAGTGCTCCCTCGCGCCCGCCTGCCCGACCGGCCACCCGGGGTCAGCAGGGCCAGCCTCAGGGGGCCCTGGGGTGGCCGGCTCCTGGGCCCCCCAGGGGAAGAGGCTGGCCCTGGGCGTACATACCGGGTCGCAGGGGCGGCCGGGCCCCCTGGTGGGCCGGGCCCGGTCGCAGCCGCGACCCCTGCGACCCTGGTATGTACGCCACTGACCGCTGGGCTAACAAAGGATCCAAGATGGCCGACCACCGTGTGGTCGGTAGCCGAACGGCGGCCACCCTGAATCTCAATAATTACCGAAGGATACATTGTTGCAATACTTAAGGAGAGCCACACGACCTCCTGTGTGTGGTCTCTCATTCGGTAGTTTATTCGTTTCACGAACAGTGTTGAAATTCACTGTTCGTGAAACTACTGTATGAATGCTGGTGGCTTTCCTGCCGCCAGCATACGAATGCTCTCGTTCGCATGACATGAAAAAATAGGTACATGCTTGGTTCTCACATTCTTAAAGTCACAGCAACACATTAATACACATACAGTCTGAAGTGGCTAGCTTTGCCACAAGCACAAGGGTCTTCATGAAACTAATACTATTACCATATCAAAGGATTGAACTGTCAATTGAGAACTCAAGCCATATGGTCAAAGTCAGTTAGGTTACATTGAAATTAGACATATAGGTGGCTCAAGTGTAAAATGTCTCACCTTGCAGTGCCTTTGATAGATTAAAAGGGCAATCCTTTTCACACCTTGCAGAAGCCCCTTTTGATCAAAAAAGCAATTTCTCTCTGCCATTCGTCCTCTACCCAGGGGTCAAATTATTGATGCACTACACAAGTTA